CAATTATTGGGACTACTACTATGATGACGACTACCAATACTACGATGTCGACTACTACTATGATCACCACTACTACGCCGCCAATGACTACTACGACTATTATGGCAACTACTACTACTACAACGACCACTATTACTATTAGGACTATGACTATTGCGACTACTACGACGTCGACTACTACTACGACGACCACAACTACTATTGCGACTATGAATATTACGCTTACTACTATGACGACGACTACTACTATACGACAACTACTACTATTCGGACTACGCCTATTGTGACTGAATATTACGACTACTACTGACAACGACTACTACTACTACAACGACAACTACTACTAATTTGCTATTTTAGTATCTTTTGGTAAGATTAATATAAATAAAATGATAGCACATCATTATAATAAATTTATAATTCAATAAAAATTACATTAACTATATAAATTTATAAAAATAAAAAAATTATTAAAAATTTACTTTCAAAATATTCTAAACAAATTTACATTCATCCTGGAGATACATTTAAAAAAAAACTTTGCAATAAACATTCTGAAACAACAAAATAAAACTCACATATGATAATGTTCACTGTGTTCATGAAATGTACATTAATGTTCTGACATTAATTAGAATTTTACCATTTTTCAATAAGCATTCTGTTTGCAGCCTTCATTTTAAGATATTACACAGGATTATACTGGAAAATATTTTGATGCCTGGAATATCCCTATATTGATGAATATTCTTTATAATAACATTGAACTTTCAATAATTGCTAAAACCTGATGATACAGTGTAGATGAAAAGAAACTAGCATTCAAGGGACAGTTCACCCAAAAAACTGTATATGTTCACTTCATTTACTCGCACTTAAGTAATTCCAAACTTTTATGAGTTTCTGTGTACTGCTAAACACAGGAAGATATTCTGGAGAATCTTGGAAAAAAAAGCAGCCATTGACATTCATAGTAGGAACAAAAAATGTAAGTTAATGAAAGTCAAAGCCAACATTCTTCCGTATATCTTCATTACTGTGCCTGGAGGATGAGTATAATTTCTATATTTCTAATACTGCCTTTCATGACCGATGTCTGTACTTTTGACATTCTCATTTATTTTTATTGACTTTTTAGATGTTAAAAACAGCTTGTTATGCTGCTTGTTTTTGAAAACTGAACTTTTCTTATTATGTTATTCTGCCAGCTGGAAGGGCATCTTCTGCTTAAAACATATGCTGGATAAGTTGGCGGTTCATTCTGCTGTGGGCACCCCTGATTAATAAAGGGACTAAGCCAAAGGATAACAAATGAATGAATGAATTATTCTACTTTTTATGTATAGTCATGAACACACTTGTTTGTAGAGCAAGTACACCATTTTCTGTCGTTTATTGTTCCTAGTAATTTCCCCCATAGGCAACTGAACCTCAAGTTCTAAAACAAGTGCACTTCCGCAACACAGAATAAGGTTAACAGCTTTTATATGTACCCTAGTTACTATTCACCTAATCTAATATGGAATGTAAACAGTCATTGTTGAAAAGTGAAAGTTCATTCAAAAAAATTGTCAAGGCAGCATGCATTCCTAAACTGGTGTCACTCACCTAATGTAGTCATATAAGTGATGCCAACTCTGTCCTTTCGGTACAGGGAAACACATTTCTCTGGGCATGGGGGCAGAACCATCTGGCAACATCACACCAGACTGCCTGAATTCAGAGAACGACAAACCTACAAAAAGAAAAAAAAAAAAAAAAATTATTGTGTTGTTTTTATACTGGTACATTATACAGTTCCCAAATTTGCAACAGTAATATGAATTTGGCTTCAGTTGCTGATCCGTTAAGGTTTGCATTTTCACTGCATATTTTACTACTGCTTGAAGTGGCTGGGATTGTCACGGTAGTTGTGCAGCCTCTACTGCCGTGACTTCCTGGAAAACATTTTCATTCATGTCGCCCCATCCAGCTCTCACTGGATCCTTTCCTCATCTACCAATGAGAGGAATGCATTGACATCTTCTAATGACCACGATGCCATTTCAGGTGTCTTTATCATACGGTGGTATAAACTTAAAATCTTAAGCTTTAATGTTTAATTTGTCCAATAAAAATCAATTAATTCATGCTCAATGTGTCAAATACTCACATACACAAACAGCCCTCACATCTGCTTCCTCACAACCAAACAGTGGCATTGAAATGGTGTATATCAGGGGTCACCAATCTCAGTCCCGGAGGGCCGGTGTCCCTCCATGGTTTAGCTCCAACTAGCCTCAACACACCTGCCTGGTTGTTTCAAGTATACCTAGGAAGACCTTGATTAGCTTGTACAGATGTGTTTGATTAGGGTTGGAGTTAAAATCTGCAGGACACCGGCCCTCCAGGAACAAGTTTGGTGACCCCTGGTGTATATTGTGATGTTTTTATGCCATTATTAGCCACCAGATGTCACCAAAGTTGCCACATTGTTAGGTTTTGGTAGGTCTGAACTGACTGCAGTGATATTTTGCTGAAGTAAAAAAAAAAACCTTTAGCATTAAAAATAAGCATATTTTTACATAAAGCATCTAATCTCAAAAAATATTATTGTTTTTTTTATTGTTTCTTTTATCAGAGTGGTTCAAGACTTGGCTACTTTTTATACGTTCGCCACTTGAGCAAACACAAAAAAGGACGTAATTCATCAAAGTCCTCTTAAAAACCAACTTGATAATATGCCACATGGGAAATAAATGGGAAACACTAAAACGAAAAGCATTTATTATTTATATTTTTAGAGATATATACATTTAAAAACATTTAGAAGACTCAAAAATTCATAAATTGATAGATTTTTTCAAAGTAATGCAACATTTGTTTAAAAAAAAAATCTTGAGTTCACAATAATTGGGTTAGGTGGGCAAAAATGTCCACAAGAGAATGATTAAGCGCTGCAGTATAAAGTATGCTTGAGAGTTAAATATAGTGTATTGTGTTGCAAATCCAATGATACTGTAGAGACACTGGTAGTGATGATTCCCTCTGACCAATCAGTGATCAGCAGTGAGTGTACACATCATGTTTTGGTAATTTTACAGCTCGATTGGAGCCTCACCTGAGGTTGTACAAAAAAAGTAACAGGAACTAGACAAAAACCCAACAGTGAGCCATGCTGACCCAAACGATGACGTACTATGTAGTAGAAAAGCTCTAACATCTTTACGTACCAGGATCAAACAGCAGGTCGCTGGTGATGATGTTTTTAACGGACATATTAGCACAGAGTTTGATGCTCTTAAGGTGACTATGTGTTCGGTTCAGGTAAACCGAAAGCACATAACGTAAATCCATCGTCAAACACGTCCACCTTGTGCTCCACGGTGCAGGGCCTACTAAACCTAAAATGAACATCACGTTATTAATGTGCAACCACAGATAAAGTATGTAGAAAACAACATAATAAGTGTGAGGTGATAATAAGACACTGAATCACTACCTTGTTTTGCAGTTGTAGAGGTGTTCTCATCCACTGAACCATGTGCTGCTCCACACAGAAAAGGGAACTGAAGCCACGTTGCTGTGGACTTGAACTCTTTAAACAAGTTCGAGAACGAAACACGGATCACCTGACCTTCCTGAATTATGAGAGATAAAAAAAAATATTGGGTCATTTTTTGGTCACTTCAGCCATATTTCAGCAATCTCTCTGGCATAAATCTTTAGACAAACATAAATATTGATGAAAGACAAAGTATTAAACGTTATGGATGTGTATTTAAGGTAATATTAATTAAGCAGTAATCCATTATGTAAGACCCCCCCTAATCAATGCAGGATTTAGGGCTGGGCGATTAATCGAAAAGTAATCCCCCTCCCCCAATGTTTGCATGTCTATAACTCAAAAATATCCTTTTAAATTGAATTTTTTTGATAAACTAATCTTTTGGTTTGCAACACTTTTCCTCATTATACCTCTCTTTCTTTCTTTCCCAAAATATCATCAAACAAGATTTTTTTAGATCAATAGAATAAAATAAAAACATTAGTTAAGAAAAATTTGCAAACACATATTACATATGTTGCCTTAACAATTAACTCAAATAAATTTAATAATATATATATATATATTATATATTAATAATATTTCTAAAGGAGCGGTTGACATGGAATTGAACCCAATTTTGGAAAAACCCAAACAACAAACATAAAAAACAAAAAACTAAAAATCTGAAAAGTTACTTAAGTGTAATAACAACAAAATGACAAAAGGAGAAAGTGCTGAACTACTCAAATGTAATTAATACTTTCTTTCATATGGAGAATGACGCCACATGCATTGCCCAGGTGTGAGTTTTACAGACCTCAACACAGTGCCATAATCTTGATGCTTCTGTGGGTCTTGTCTAACAAATTTGAGCTTGAATTTGTATCTTATATTGGATTTGTGTCAGGTAATTGGCTGAGCCATTTTACGGCTTGATTTGGTAGATCATTGTCTTGCTGAAATGTCCACCTTGGTTTCATCTTCATCATCCTGCTAATGTAGATGTTGGACTGAATCAGCTAATATTTATTTACACTGTGGAAGAGCAGAGGGTTGCTGAAGAACTGAGAAATTTCAGCTGCTGTCTGGGCTTTTACTGCTTTTCTACACCTCCCTTTCTTCATGTGTCCAGTACTTTTTCCCTGCGCCATTTCAGTTTATTACATATAACTTGATTTGTAAACTAATTAGATTTGTTTTCTTTGTATATATGGATTTCTTTGGTTGTTACCAACATCCAGGGAAATATTTCAAGCCAACAGCAACTTTTGAAATATGTTTTCTGAGAAAAATGGTGACGTGTTCAATGCTTATTTTCCCCGCTGTATAAAATATTTAGGTATCACTTTAAAATAGCACTCGATTAATTAATGTATTTGAAATATAAACAATACTGTACAACATTTACCAATGCATTATCAAAATCCAAAAGTTGTGCTTGTTAACATTAGTTAACACAGTGAGTTAACAAGGGCTAACAATGAACAATTTAATTTTCTTCAACAAATGTTAACAAAGAGGAATAAATACTGTAATAAATAAATTATTGAGTTTTTGTTCATGTTAGTTAATGTAAATATTTTACATGAGCATTATTTAAAAGTGTTACCAATATTTAAGTTGGTAAATGATGAACAAGGCAACAAATAAAGGCCTTATTTCTAAACAAACAGATACACATTATTATTTATATGCATATAAAACTTCAGTTTTCACCTCAGCCGCAATGTCCAGATGTACAATAAAGTGTTTGTTTGGGCTGGGCTTGAACAGCAAGTACAGGTACCGTCCGGTGAGACCCAAAGTCTGGCTGCTGGTTTTGGGAAGCAGGATGTAGTTGCTGGCCTGAATGGAGCCACGGATGCTGAATACAGAACACTTCAGGTTCTTATCCTACCAAAAAAGTATGACGATTAATACATGCATATAGCAAATACTGAATATTAATCAGATTAATCTGGAGAAACATCATATTGTTTAATGTATACCATGTATAAGGAGACGTCTCCTTCTTTGCTGACTTTTTTCCATTCTTCTATCTTCATGTGTTTGAAGATGTTGACATATGGCTGCTGCCACAAAGCTGAAATAAAGATTAACACAACAATCAATGCTGAATTTAGGGCTGGGCGATTAATCGAAAAGTAATCAAAATCGACATTCAGAACCTATAATATATCTAGTTTTTCCAGGTCGATTGTTTCGATCACTTTCCCTACCACGTGTGGAGTCATGTGAGCCCGCTCTGTGCACTACATTGACGATGATTGAAAGCTGCACCAGAGTTGCCTTGAGACGGCATATTTTCCATTACATAAAATATACAAACAAACGTAAACAAACAATTGTGATCGCTTCATAAAATCGTCCAGATTAGCGAGTACCGATAGATTAATGAAATGTGATTATCGGCCAATACCGATCTCTGGCCGATCGATCAGAGCAACCCTAGTAGAAGATAGTGTGTTTCCTTCAAATATTTTAAAATCAAGTAATACACTTGTCATTCAGAAATCTCTCACTTGTAAAATGTGAACATATTTACTGTACAAAACTTGTAAGTGAACTATGAGGGAAAAAATAAATAAATAAATAAATAAAATCATTCATAAATCGTAATCAAGTTAAAATGTTTAATTATTTAAGATTTTGATTAAGACAAATTACCTTTTGGCTTAAAAATTTTCTGTTGAAAGTGTATTGTAAAACTTTGTAAGATAGAGACTAAGTCAATCGGTCAGTACTAAAAATCCCTTAAAGTCTATGCTGCAAAGTGTTTAAAAATATGTAAAAAAATAAATTAATTAAACAAAGAATAAAAAAAAATTAATGTAAACAACAGAAACAAAATATTTTGATAACTATATTTCAGGCTTTCTCATATTATGGGTATACTGTACTGTACAGTACTGCATTGAGGTAAAGTTGGTTTTATATTCGCACATTCGTTCAGTGACAGCTCCTTATATTGTTAACCACAGTACTTTGAGTATTCTGACTGCGATTGCATTCAAGTATGACTTGACCATTAGCACTAATTGACTGTAAACAATGGTGTAATTTGATCGTCATTGGCTCCTAATATAGTTTCACTATGAATACGCAATGAATAGTTTTCTGAAAGTTATATTATTAAGGAGAAAGTCTGAATATGTGAATTTAAAACTAACTTTACCCCAATTACTGCATTGTATATTTCATTTGGTATTATAATGTTACTGCAATGGATATTGTGCTATTCAGTACATCAATAATATTATTTTCATTCGGCTTTTTCCTTCTTTAAAAGAAAAAATAACATCAGTCTATGCCCATTTCAGAGGCTCGCCGTTTAATTAGTGAAGTTTGGAGAGGTAAACTTACCTTTGGAAGACATTGTTTACTTCACAGATCTGATTCACCTGTTGACAGCTAACGGTTTGTAGCTCACAAACTACCACAAAACCAGTTCACTTCCATTTACTTCATGTCCACAGATATTTTATTCAGCACAACGCTTTAGTTTATTGTCAAACAGAGTATAATGTTCAATTTTTGTCGTTGTTTTGTGAGTTTTGCAGGTCTGTGAGCTCGTTGTGTTTGTAATAATCGGCTCTGCTCGCGCTACAGAGACCGCCGCGACGTGTTTGAACGGCATGACGCAAGACGTACGTCACATGCACAAAAAAGTAAATTACCAAGATATTTGTAATTTATTTAATTTTATATAATTTATAAGCATATTTGTGTTATCATGGTGATGTTTCGTGTAGATAGAAATTGACAGCTGATATATATTTAATTGTGTACACAGTAAGCATATAGCGAAGCACAGAAACACAGCGAAGCATTAGAAAATAATGCAAAGATAACTTTTTTTAGCTTATTTATTATTTATTTTTTACATGAATTGATTTATTGTACATCTTAGATGTTGTTTGTATATTTACATATCATGATCCGAATTTTCCTTAAAAAATATTCACTGTTGTACATTTAATCTGATAAATGATTATACGGTGTATATAGTAACTATATAATGATATTTCTGACTAGTCACAAATGGTTCTAAAGTAATTTCGCGATAATGTTTTAGATCATCATCTGTAAACGCGTTTTTCTAGTTTGTGGTTATTGGGCTTCCGTAGGGTTGCATGGGTGCCATAGTGACGAACACAGCAACAGACGCCTTTTCGAGGCAAAAACATCCGCTTTATATGCTAATCATTACTGTTATTTTTACATGATTTACAACTAAAACGGTAAAGGTTTTGTTATATTCCTCCATTATCAGAATTTAGTAGTTAATTTTAGGCGGAAGACAAAAGATGATGCTCAAGCTACTTAACGTCATCATGCTAGCTTTAACAGTTGAGGCTAACCACATTTTCCAGTGAAGATTAACTTTAACATTAGACAAATGCAAAATGCCGTCTTTTATTGAAGGAAATGTGTGACTACTCGCTTTCAGTTTGAGTATTCAATATCTGTGCATGAATAATTTAATTGTATAATTGTTTTACGTTTTGTTAATGAAATGTGTATTCATTCTTCTTGTCTTATAGGTGACAGTTGTGTGTTTACTGGATTAAAGGACAGCAATCATGTCTTTTAGAGATCTGAGAAGTAAGTGACCCCAAATCCATCAATTACTGTAAAATATATTCTAGTGTTACTCTGTGCTAAGTTAAGCTGTGGTTTGTGTTTATGTGATTATATATGTCAGCTGAAATATAATATTACCCTACCGCATGCTTGGAAAGGTTTCATTTCTGGTGTTTTTACAATAATATATTTGTGCATGCACATTAGATTAGGCAGTAATGAAGACAAATCTAACAAAATAACTTGCAATAACTGTCCTAAAACTAGTACACCCAAATTTGTTATAGAAAAATATAAACAAAAATTTCAAAAATAGTAAAAATCAAGCGAAGCAAAAAATTGAAATTATCTTGTTGAGATTTTGTAGGTTGTATTTTTTTTTTTGCTATATTTAACTTGAATTTAATTATATTATCCTTCAATTTCTAAATATCTTTGGTGACTAAAATATTATTTTAATAAATTTATCTGTTAAATAAATCTGTTTTGTTTAAATGCACCAAAATACATCGCCTATATTCACTGAGAAATGGAGAAAAATGAAAAATATTCATTTTCAAAATGGGGTGTACTCAATTTTGCTGAGGTCTGTATATACATAAGAGCATATATATATATATATATATATATATATATATATATATATATATATATATATATATATATATATATATATATACATACACACACATATATATAAATATATTTAAATATATTGATATTTTTGTGGGTGTTCTAAAGGGTTAATTTACCCAAAAATGAACATTTCTTCACACGAAAGTGGTTCTAAACTTTAATGAATTTCTTTCCTCCATTGAACACAAATATGAACACTATCAGGACACCTTCTAATGTACAGAAATAAAAATAAGCTGAACTACAGTTAATGTTTTGATGGTTTTAAATATCTTTTCAATTTTTATCCATATGTAGATTTTACAGAGATGATGCGAGCGCTTGGCTACCCTCGACTCATTTCCATGGAAAACTTCAGATCTCCAAACTTCCCTTTAGTAGCTGAGATTCTCATCTGGCTTGTCAAGAGGTAATAGAAATGGATGTGTTTTAAAAAAAAGAGAGTCGGGAGGAGAGATGTGTGTGTTGAAAGGACTTTTAACAAAAATGAAAATTCTGTCATTATTTATTCATCCTCCACTTGTTTGAGTTTCTGTCTTATTTTATATTCTGAAGATATATATATATATATATATATATATATATATATATATATATATATATTAAGGGTGGAGCCGAACCCGAATACGGTATTCGGAAAGGCACGAATAGCGTGTGTTTACGAATACTTATTTCGAACAAATACTTGAAAAATTATTTGTATTCGGGAGCAAGAAAAGCATTATATCAAAAAGCTGTGTTTCCTCCTGAGACCACAGTGCGTGAGAGAGAGCGAGAGAGAGAGAGAGAGAGAGAGAGAGAGCGAGAGAGAGAGAGAGAGAGAGAGAGAGAGAGAGAGAGAGAGAGAGAGAGAGAGAGAGAGAGAGACGCGCGCGCTCAGTCGGAGGGCGGGGCGGAGGTAAAAGGTCTCTGGCACAAGCTTCTCCACAACAGCAGACAGAGAAGGCTCGGCTGAGCGAAAAAAAAACACTTCTCTGCATCAGTATTTTTGTTAAATAGATTTTTGTACCTTAATTGGGTTCCAGATGCAGTTTATAAACTTGTAGCGGAGTTTGTTCGGGATTTTCCATTACGCTGCATTTTTGAAGTTTGCAATCGGGTGCTCTGTTTACGCAACTTTAGCTCTGTTAGCGCGGTAATTTAGACAATAGACTGTTGACAGAGTAACGTTAACGTTCGTTTATAAAGGTTAAAACGATGCTTGTGCAGTTGTGTCGAATAGTATGCACTTATGGGAGTTATATGGTACGTCTACATTACTGTCTTTTGCAGACAGCAAGATATATGCTATAGGCTAGTTAACCTTAGCATAGCTTCCCGTCACTTTTTATTAACTTGAAACTCCTCAAATATATTTGGGCACCATGAAAAAGAGTGAGAGTGCTGCTGAGCCATTTCTTGGTCCTCCACCAGTAAAAAAAATAAAACTTCATGTTCTTTGTGGAAGCATCTTACAGTCAGTGGTGCTGCAGATAAAACAAACTGATGCTGTATAATGTGTGCAAAAGTGAAATCAGCAGAGGCAGAGATATTAAACATCTGTCAACATCTTCTATGCATAATCATTCATTTTCTTTTCGGCTTAGTCCCTTTATCAATCTGGGGTTGCCACGGTGGAATGAACCACCAATTTATCCAGCATATGTTTTACGCAGTGGCTGCCCTTCCAGCTGCTACCCAGCACTGGGAAACATCCATACACTCACTTTCACACACATACAATAGGGACAATTTAGCTTACCCAATTCACCTGTATTGCATGTGTTTAGACTGGGGGGGAAACCGGAGCACCCGAAGGAAACCCACACCAACATGGGGAGAACCCAGTCAGGGCTCGAACCAGCAACCTTCTTGCTGTGAGGCGACAGTGCTACTCACTATGCCACCGCGCAACCTTCTATGTAATGTATTATCACATGCACTAAAAGCATCCTCTCCTGATACTGTCTGTGAACCCCCCACAAGCATCAATCCCCTCAATCAGCACAGCTATGCTCTGCTAAATCCTCCACAAGCACCAAACCATCAACACAGCCACATTCTGCCCCAGCAAGTCAGTTTCAAACATAAAAAAGTAAAAAAAAAATAAAAAAAAAACATTTTGTTTCTGTTTTGAGGCAGGCAGATGACAATAGCAGGGCTGTATCTTTTAGTATTATATAGAATACTTTTGTTCTGCCAGATCTCCCAGGCAGGGTTTTATTTAGATTTATTTTGTTAATTTTAGTTTTTGGAATTCTGTGCATTGGAAAGAAGTTCTTTCAGAAGAAGAACAGTTTTTTGAAGTATTATTTGTTTTTATTCTGTCTATTCAGTGTCCTTCAACAAGAACGGTGGTGGTGGGGTTCATATAATTCACAATGGTATTTTATTAGTTGTTGGTTTAACCATGGATGAGGTAATGGCTTCTATGTTATTTTCTTTTCAATGACATTTCTTATCACATGTTCAAAAACAACAACCAATATTGCATGTCTATAATTTATATAATGGGTATAATTAAACAATACTTTTACTATAACGTAAATTAGATGTGTAATAGAAAAAATGTATATTTTTGCGCCATTTTGAATTTTACTCGAATACAAATACAAATACAAATACTTTTCCCCCCTCAACAAATACAAATACAAATACAAATACCGGCTGCTTCGCACATCCCTAATATATATATATATATATATATATATATATTAAGGGTGGAGCCGAACCCGAATACGGTATTCGGAAAGGCACGAATAGCGTGTTTTTACGAATACTTGATTCGAACAAATACTTGAAAAATTATTTGTATTCGGGAGCAAGAAAAGCATTATATCAAAAAGCAGCGTTTCCTCATGAGACCACAGTGCATGAGTGAGAGAGAGAGCGAGAGAGTGAGCGAGCGAGCGAGAGAGAGAGAGAGAGAGAGAGAGAGAGAGAGAGAGAGAGAGAGAGAGAGAGAGAGAGAGAGACGCGCGCTCAGTCAGTAGTGGGAGGGCGGGGCGGAGGTGTCTGACACAAGCTTCACAGCAACAGACAGAAGGCTCGGCTGAGCGAAAAAAATACTACACTTCATCGCTATTTTTGTTAAATAGATTTTTGTACCTTAATTGGGTTCCAAAGGCAGTTTATAAACTTGTAGCGGAGTTGAAGCGGAGTTTGTTCGGGATTCTATTACGCTGCATTTTTGAAGTTTGCAATCGGGTGCTCTGTTTACGCAACGTTAACTCTGTTAGCGCGGTAATTCAGACAATAGACTGTTGACAGAGTAACGTTAACGTTTGTTTATAAAGGTTAAAACGATGCTTTTGCAGTTGTGTCGAATAGTATGCACTTATGGGAGTTATATGGTACGTCTAAATTACTGTCTTTTGCAGACAGCAAGATATATGCTATAGGCTAGTTAGCCTTAGCATAGCTTCCCGTCACTTTTTATTAACTTGAAACTCCTCAAATACATTTGGGCACCATGAAAAAATGAGACTGCTGCTGAGCCATTTCTTGGTCCTCCACCAGTCAAAAGAAAAAAAACCCTTCATGTTCTGTGTGGAAGCATTTTACAGTCAGTGGAGCTGCAGATAAAACAAACTGATGCTGTATAATGTGTGCAAAAGTGAAATCAGCAGAGGCAGAGATATTAAACATCTGTCAACATCTTCTATCCATAATCATTCATTCATTTCTTTTCGGCTAAATCCCTTTATCAATCTGGGGTTGCCACAGTGGAATGAACCAAAAATTTATACAGCATATGTTTTACGCAGTGGCTGCCCTTCCAGCTGCTACCCAGCACTGGGAAACATCCATACACTCCCTTTCACACACATACAATAGGGACAATTTAGCTTACCCAATTCACCTGTATTGCATGTGTTTGGACTGTGGTGGAAACCCACGCCAACATGGTGAGAACCCAGTCGGGGTTCGAACCAGCAACCTTCTTGCTGTCAGGCGACAGTGGTACTCACTGTGCCACCGCGCAACCTTCTATGTAATGTATTATCACATGCACTAAAAGCATCCTCTCCTGATACTGTCTGTGAACCCCCCACAAGCATCAATCCCCTCACTCAGCACAGCTATGTTCTGCTAAATCCTCCACAAGCACCAAACCATCAACACAGCCACATTCTGCCCCAGCAAGTCAGTTTCAAACATAAAAAAAACAAACAAACAAACTTTGTGTCTGTTTTGTGGCAGGCAGATGATAATAGCAGGGCTGTATCTTTTAGTATTATATCGAATACTTTTGTTCTGCCAGATCCCCCAGGCAGGGGTTTATTTAGATTTATTTAGTTAATTTTAGTTTTTGGAATTCTGTCCATTGTAAAGAAATTCTTTCAGAAGAAGAACAGTTTTTTGAAGTATTATTTGTTTTTATTCTGTCTATTCAGTGTCTTTCAACAAGAACGGTGGTGGTGGGGTTCATAATATTCACAATGGTATTTTATTAGTTGTTGGTTTAACCATGGATGAGGTAATGGCTTCTATGTTATTTTCTTTTCAATGACATTTCTTGTCACATGTTCAAAAACAACAACCAATATTGCATATCTATAATTTCTATAATGGGTATAATTAAACAATACTTTCACTATAACGTAAATTAGAAGTGTAATAGAAAAAAATATACATTTTTGCGCCATTTTGAATTTTACTCGAATACAAATACAAATACAAATACAAATACCGGCTGCTCCGCACATCCCTAATATATATATATATATATATATATATATATATATGTATATTTACATACACATACATACATATATACATATATATGTGTGTTTGTATATATGTAAATATACACACACATATATATATATATATATATATATATATATATATATATATCTTCAGAATATAAAATTAGTACATATACTAATACTCTGAAGAATGCTGAAAACAACAGCCATCCCAGTCAATAGCCCCTTTCACACAGTGATATGGGTAAATATCTGGAAAATTTCCGGAACGACTTTACCGGTATATTCAAAAAAGCGCTGTTCACACAGGCGAGGACGTTACGGAAATTTTCCAGAAAAGAGCATTCACACATCCATTCCAAAATACCGGTAAATTCTGACATCATTCACCACATATGAGCTTTAAACGGCTGCGCTTGTATTTGTAAACATTTGACTAAATTACAAACTCTGTGGATGATCAATATAGTGAACAACTTTCGCAGGATCACTTTCTCATGTCGAGATGTTCATAATATGTGCGTGTGCAGGCGCTCACAGGTTTCAAAGGCACACGCAAAGCTTAAAGGTAAACAAACAACGGCTTATCATAAGCATCTCATCGATGATTATTTACACAGTTGGCATTAAGAAGAACATATAAACGTGATCTGACTAACTTCTAGCTGCTAAATGTGTCTGGAAAAATATTCAAAGGTTTTTATTCTCACAAACCGCGCGGACGTAAATGCGTCTGACTGTTGTGATTGGCTAAAGCAGACGTCTCACGTCAGCACGTTCTAGACGTGCACCGCTTATTACGGTAATCTTCCTTCTGCATTCACACAGCGCAGCATTCCAGCAAATTGCCGGTAATGTTACAACTTCTCTTTCCGGAAAATAGCCAGAACGAATTTACCGGTATTTTCAAAAAGGACCTGTTCACACATACAAGCTTTGTGTGAAAGGTCTGTATGTGTGAAAGGGGCTATTGTCTGCTTTTTTCTAGCATTCTTCATTATATGACTAAATGTGTAAGATCAAATAAACATTTTTGGGTGAACTGTCCCTTTAAATATCTGATATGTCAAATCGTGTTCAATGTTTGGGTGACTAGAGTTGGGTTTTATATATCTTCCTCTAGATATGAGCCTCAGATGGAAATTCCCAGTGATGTTGATACGGAGTCAGACAGAGTGTTTTTCATCAAAGCTGTGGCTCAATTCATGGTAAACTCCAGTATATTTTTGGCATAAAATAAAACAATTGAAAGTGAAATTCACTGCATGTTCTCTGTGTTTCTGTAGGCCACTAAAGCTCACGTAAAGCTGAATCTGAAGCGTCTCTATCAGGCGGATGGCTACGCTGTGAAAGAGATGCTAAAAATCACCAGCATCCTCTATAATGCTATGAAAACCAAGGAGAACGCAGGAGGAGATCAGAACAATGATGAAAACAGCAAGTTCAAGTTTGATCTGGGCTCAAAGGTGAACTGTCATGCAGTTTAATAACTAGCTGAGTTAGTTACAGCATTTTAATAGTAATTTTGTATGTTTTGCTGGTTTGTGTGCGCAGATTGCTGATTTAAAGCTGGCTCGTCAGCTAGGCTCGGAGATAACAGCAAAGGGTGCAGCTCTGTTTGACCTGCTAGGGCAAGAAGAGGACCTGAGAGAGAGCAGGACAGCTGCAATTGCGCGACCACTAGAGATCACAGAAACAGAGAGAGCCATTAGAGCGGCGGTCAAAGATGTTACGGTAAAACAGATGTTTTTTTTTTTTTTGCAATTATGGAGAAAAATTTGAATAATGTATATTTATGGGCTAGTATATCGGCTATTATCGGTATCTGTCACTGAAATTTTTGAGAGATACCAATAATAGCTGTATACATGTGTAAAATGTATATTTATTGGCTAATATATTGTCTAATATTAGTTATCGGTATGTCAAAACTTCCATATTGGTATAGGAATTTTTGAGAGATACCGATAACCAATAATAGCCGTATACATGTCTAAATGTATATTTATGGGCTAATATATTGTCTATTATCAGTTATCAGTATCTGTCAAAACTTCCATATCGATATAAGTAATTTTTGAGAGATACCAGTAACTGATAATAGTCGATATATTAGTCGATAAATATTCATTTTTTTGAATAATCGTAAAAACACTTACTGTGAACAACTTAATTTTATATTAAAATCTTTAGAAAACTTTGAACTGATCTCCTTACTGTATTAATATGCTAATAATTACTATTCTTTTCTATGGTCAGTTTTTTTTTTTTTAGAAATAAAATCTAATCCCTGATCTAAAAAAATGCAAAAGACAATTTTGTTGTCAGACCAAGTATCATTTATCGGCCGATATCGATATGGCCGCAGATATTTTGTGTATTCCAAAATATTATTGCTTTAGTAAAGTCCTTTATTTATAATATTTGTTTATGTTTAGGGATGAAACTTTTGTACAAGTTCATTTTTTTTTTAATTGGTTGTGTTTTTTTTGCTATAATAAAAACAAAAAACTATCAGACAGCAAGCAAAATGTATTGGCTTAAAGATATCTGCCTAATTTTGTTAGCGAACATTATAATTAAAAGATATCAATATGGCTGCCGCTATATCGTGCATCCCTAAAGAGATCATAAAATACAGCTTTTCTCATCTCATTGCTTTAGTGCTTTACTTATAATATTCGTTTATGTTTAGAGGTAAAACTTTTACATCAGTGCATTCAAGTGATTTTTTTAAGTTCTTTCTTTTAGCTTAAAAATTATTAGGATTTTATTAATCATGATTTTTTTTGCTGAATCAACCTTTATAAAATAGTCATATTTTCATGTTTTCCAAGACTGTGGAAATGCTGATCTTTAAATTAACAAGGTAGTTGCCAAAAAAATACAAATATGATTACTAATATAGACTTATCGACAGATACAGAAATCCGATAATAGGCAATATATTAGCTGATAAATAAATTTTTTTCTGCATTATTGCAATAACAAAAGGCAATACAGTGAACAACTTTATTTATTTTATTATATAATTAAAATAACACTAAGCACAATATATCAGCTTAAAGATATCGGCCTAATTTTTTTATGGGACCAATAACGTTGTCATTAAATGTAGCATTTATCGGCCGATATCGAAACAACCGCCGATATATTGTGCATCCCTAAACAGATCAGAAGATCCAGCTTTCCTCATATCATTGCTTATAACTAGGCCCACACGGAATCTGCACGCGGTTGCGTTGATTCTGTTTATTTACTTGTGTAAATGTGTGTAAATTTATATTTATTCATTATATATATTCATTTATTAATTTCCGTAGACTAATACTAAAATATTCATGATTAATTCACAGTATAGTTTGTAAAGTAATATTTTCTGTCTTTTAGTAGATATATTGTAGGAAAGACTTGCTTTGTTTACCAAATAAAGTTGATTTAATTGGATTTGCATTGTAAACATTAAATACAAGTTAAAAATGTCTTACTTTTTAAATTAAGTTTGTAGTTATGATAGTCCCCAAATCATTCCGCATAAATCTGCATATTTTTAACAAAATTCTGCGCAGAAATAGCAAAAAATGCCAGCAGATTCAGTCTGGCCCTACTTATAACATACCAGTTCATTTACTTTTTAAAACTTTGTGTTTTTAATGACTTTAAGTTCTTTCCTTTTATTTAGAAATTATTAGGATTTTATTGATCAAGATTTTATTTTTAACCTTTTTAAAATATCGTCATATTATTATGCTTTCCAAGACTGTGGAAATTCTGGTCTTTAAAATTCAATTGTAGTTGCCAAAAATAAAAATGTTTTTTATGTTTCAGCTTATTTTAATTCTTGTTTTGTTTCAAATCATTTTCTCCTGTCTTGAGAAAAGAAAGTCAAAAGTCTTCTCGTCTCTAAGAAAGTCTAAACGCACAAAAATAAAAGAACTGCCTGTACTAAGTAATAATAACTGAAAGGTTTGTTATGAAAGTCTCTTGAGAGCCACAAGAACTCGACGTCACTTTGGATTTTAGGTCAAATGTTGAGGATTTTAGTGCATTTAGTGAGCAGCTTGCTTGAATTATTTACCAAGCTAAAGAGTACAGGGAGACGGAGAATCCCTGTGGAGGATTGTGATTTTTTTTTTGTGGGCTCTTTGTGTGTGTGTTTGAGTTTAGGAGAGCATACAAATGACAAAAGATCTGCTCAACAACGTGTCATCAGATGAGGCCAGTCTGGAGGCTAAAATCGAGAAGAAGAAACAAGACCTGGAGAGAAACCAGAAACGTTTGCAAACCTTACAGAGCGTGCGGTGAGCTGTCTGATATTAGGTTTATTTGAATTGCAAGTAAAGAAAAAGTTTGATCTTATTCTTTGTTTTAGTTGATGATATTACCGCTGAAAACAGATGTATTAAATATATTCATGCATAAAAACTGATGCCTTTGCAATTAATTGATTCAAGTCGATTGTTTTCATTTCATATGCTATTTTACAGGTATGATTTTTAAAAATGTTTTAATTATGTTGGCTTGAGAAAGCCAGCATACTGTTATACTACTCTGTCCTTGAAAACAAACGTATCTCCTCCTAGGCCGTTCATGCCACAAGGCCCAAATGTGGTCAAAATGTGCCTTCTACATTCAAGATTGTTGCTATATCTCCTCATGCCTTTAAGACTTATTGTTTTTTTAATAAAAAATGTTAAATATTAAATTTTTATAATCCAGGCATATAAAAAAATTATACAAGCCCCAAATTTGGCCAAAAGCTGTATTTAGACACGTTAGGTTTTGTTGCTATATCTTTAAGGTTTATCAGACTTATAGTTTTCCAATAAATAATTTTTAAGCATTATTTTTCTTAAAATATGGCAAGCCATTTTTGACTTAAACTCCATATTTTTTACTGATATGGCAAGCCATTTTTGCATGCATCACTTTCACACTTTTTAAGCATTGTATTTTCAAAAAAATACGGCAAGCCATTTTTACATAATGTTCATTCCCTTAGTCCCTTTATTAATCATCACTAACCTGTCAAATGTCCCCATAGCAATAAAACAGTATAACCTAGCAACCATTTAAAAATAGCAATATCTCTATATCAGAACATCATAGGGACCTGGGCATTGGCTTGTTTGACTCACGCTAGCAAATAGGACTTCCTGTGTACTATGCATGGTAACAATGATAATGGAAGCCAAGTGCTAATAACGATTAGCTACATGCTATGAATGATTATCTAAATGCAATAACATATGCTAGAAATGCCTACTAAGTATTAGCATTTGATCAAACATGTACACGAGCATTGCCATTTAGCAACTGCTTAGCAACCATCTAACAATGCCATAATTGTTTTAGCAACTGCCTAGCAACCACTTAGCAACCGCCGCCGTGCTTCCTGCCATTCCCAGTCCTAGCGCAGTCACGTTGGCTTTCTCAAGCCAACATCAAAGTTTATCAATAAACTTTAGGTTCTAGTTTAGGCTTTGTTATTGATAGTAACTCTATTATGTAATAACTTTAATACCTTTATCATGTAGTCCAGCGTTTATGGATGAATATGAGAAGATCGAGGAGGACTTGGAGAAACAGTACCAGACGTATGTGGAGAAATATCGTAACCTGAGCTTCCTGGAGCAGCAGCTGGATGACTATCACAGAGTAGAGCAGGAGCGATTCGAGGTACAAACACTTCCTCTCTGGTGCTCCACTGGGGCCTGCAACTCAACATTTCAATCAACCCACTAAAACACAAGAGACTTTAAGTGAATGCTGGGATCAATTCATCCCAGAAATTACCTTTATAGTGTATATCCTGATGCATCCCTGATGGATCCTTTTGCCTTTTCTTCCAGGAAGCAGAAATGGCAATGAAAATGAGACAGAACAAATTAAAAGAGGAGGAGAAGAGGCTTATGAGGAGCGGAGGTGAGTCTCACACACATTTGAGCTCACGTGTGTGATGTGTTATCCTCTATGATAATACGATGATTGTTGTTTGAACATTATTCACGTCATAAGACAAATAAAATCACTTCTTGAAGCATTGATGAAGCCTGTTAGCATGAGCCTGTAATTCAAGTTAGAAAAGCACAAAATGTTCCTGTTTCGATTTGTGTTTTTATATTTATGAGACATGGTGTATAATTCAGTATTATTATATGAGCAAGAGTGATCTCTTGCTTTAATACTAAAGTTCAACAAACAAGTTAATATTAAAGAAACACTTTTTTTGGATATAGACTCATTTTACAGCTCCCCTCGAGTTGAGCTTTACTATTTCTGAATCCATTCAGCTGATCTCTGGATCTGGCAGGAGCACTTTTAGCTTAGCTTAGCATAAATCATTAAATCAGATTAGACCATTAGCATCTCGTTCAAAAAAATAGTTTCGATCATTTTTCTATTTGAAGCTTGACTTTAAGACAGATGAAAATGACTGCAGCAGTGATACGGAGCTTCTGCTAGTAAGTAGGTAACATTGGTGCGTAATTGTGAATATCAGTGCTGATATTACATGTTTTAATATTACCAGTTCCTTGATTTTATTAAACCAGAATGAAAGTATAGTTCCAAGCCATATTGGTCTACAAAAAAGCAACTTTTAATTTTCTGTCGGTTTTAGTACACAGTGTAACTACAGATAAGTTGAACTTTATATAGGAAAATTATCAAAACCGTTTTTAAAAATTTTGAGTGAGATGCTAACGGTCTAATCTAATTCAATGATCTATGCTAAGCTAAGCTAAAAGTGTGACACTGAGATCGGCTGAATGGATTCAAAAATGGTAAAACTCACCTGTTTAACTGCATTGTGGGATTGATTATGTGCACTTCATAGCATCCACTAAGCTTTCGGACACCACTACAAATGGATGGTCCCTCAAATAGTGCACTATTTAAAGGTATAGAAGACAATTTCTGATACAGCCTGGCGCTTATCGTCATCTACTGATGTTTTTAATAGGAAATGGGAAAATTATCAAAACCCTTTTTAAAAATTTTGAGCGAGATGCCAACGGTCTAATCTAATTCAATGATCTATGCTAAGCTAAGCTAAAAGTGTGACACTGAGATCGGCTGAATGGATTCAAGAATGGTAAAACTCACCTGTTTAACTGCATTGTGGGATTGATTGTGTGCACTTCATAGCATCTACTGAGGTTTCGGAGATCCCTACAAATGGTTGCGTCCTCAAATAGTGCACTATTAGAGTGTATAGAGTGCCATTTGGGATACGGCCTAGTTAGAGCCTGATGGTTTTAATGGGAAATAGGAAAATTATCAAAACCTTTTTTTTTTTTTTTTTTTTTTTTTTTGAGCGAGATGCTAACAGTCTAATCCAATATGATGATCTATGCTAATCTAAGCTAAAAGTGAAACACGGATCGGCTGAATGGACTCAAAAATGGTAAAACTCACCTGTTCAACTACATTGTGGGATTGATTATGTGCACTTCAGAGCATCCACTAAGCTTTCGGACACCACTACAAATGGATGCTCCCCTCAAATAGTGCACTATTTAAAGGTATAGAAGACAATTTCTGATACAGCCTGGCGCTTATCGTCATCTACTGATGTTTTTAATAGGAAAATTATCAAAACCCTTTTTCCAATTTTTAAGCGAGATGCTAACAGTCTAATCCAATTCAATGATCTATGCTAAGCTAAGCTAAAAGTGTGACACTGAGATCGGCTGAATGGATTCAAAAATGGTAAAACTCACCTGTTTAACTGCATTGTGGGATTGATTGAGTGCATTTCAGAGCATCTACTAAGGTTTCGGACATCACTACAAATGGTTGCGTCCTCAAATAGTGCACTATTAGAGTGTACAGAGTGCCATTTGAGATACGGCCTAGTTAGAGCCTGATGGTTTTAATAGGAAATAGGAAAATTATCAAAACCTTTTTTTTTTTTTGAGTGAGATGCTAACGGTCTAATCTAATTTAATGATCTATGCTAAGCTAAGCTAAAAGTGAAACACAGATCGGCTGTATGGACTCAAAAACGGTAAAACTCACCTGTTTAATTGCATTGTGGGATTGATTATGTGCACTTCAGAGCATCCACTAAGCTTTCGGACACCACTACAAATGGATGCTCCCCTCAAATAGTGCACTATTTAAAGGTATAGAATACAATTTCTGATACAGCCTGGCGCTTATCGTCATCTACTGATGGTTTTAATAGGAAATAGGAAAATTATCAAAACCCTTTTTAAAAATTTTGAACGAGATGCTAACGGTCTAATCTAATTCAATGATCTATGCTAAGCTAAGCTAAAAGTGTGCCCCAGAGATCAGCTGAATGGATTAACAAAAGGGTAAAACTCCCCTGTTAAACTGCATTGTGGGATTGATTGAGTGCACTTCAGAGCATCCACTAAGGTGTCAGACATCACTACAAATCGTTGCTCCCTTAAAATGTGCACTATTTAAAGGTATAGTAGGCATTTTCTGATGACATCTGCTGATGTTTTAATGTTATACTTGTCTATCGTGAAACCAGTGAAGTATCCACTCACTAAAATATTGTTTAATTACATTATTGAAAAAAGAATATAGATGTTTTTTTTTTTTGCCAAATTTGGACACCCCTGCTCACTAGTGAATTTCTTCAGTAGCCAGAGATGAAGATTCGGACGTGGACATACCAGAGGATGAAGGCTCTGACAGTGACATAGATGACGGACAGCAGGCCAGACCGCACCACCCTCGACACACACAAATATCAGGTGACCACAACGTAATCCGTAGCTACCATCACACACATACGACAATAGCAATATCTGATTTGGTTTTGTGACGTGTGTGTGTTTCTGCTGCAGGTCGAGGTGGCGCTCGATTCATCGGCAGTATGAGAGGAGGAGACAGCGAAGAGGTGTGGAAAACTATGTGGAAATACGGCCAATTCAGAAACGCTTGTTATTAGCGACACCGGTGGCCGTTTAGTGAACTGCAGGCTTGTGTTCTCGTAACGTAAATAGAGACGATTCAATGACTTAATATACTTCACATCAGAATTTTGAGGGTTTTCTTGCTTTCGTCTCGTATATTCTTAAGAGATTATTCCTTTAATCTGTCTGTCTTTCTTCACATTTCTGTTTTTCCTCCATGATCGATCATTAGTTATCTTCTTTGTGCTTTTTTTTCTCTCACTGTACTGAATATTCCTCCAACTCTATTTTCAGTCGCTTCATTTTTCACTCCGTCTTTCTTTCTCTTTCTTCCCACTCGTTCTTCAAGCCCAAAGTAAAGGAAAGAGCTGGCCTATCCGGCAGTGGCCGGAAACAAAAGAAAAAAAAGGTGGTGTGTATGCGTCAGTGTTATTTTAGTATTAATGTTATGAACTGTACAATTATAATATTTTTATCATTTTAAATGAGATACAGTTTTATATATATTTCCATTATAGTTTTTAGACATTTTGTTATGTCTATATATATTTTTATTTTTTCAGAAATTTTTGTTGTTGTTTTAGTATTATTTCATGTTTTTTTATTTAATAAATTTTTATTCATATTTCTATGATAGTTTTTATAAATGTTGTTATTTTGTTTTGTCTATATATAATGTTTTTCAGTAATTTTAGTTGTTGTTTTAGTACTATTTTTATACACTTATTATTTTGAAGATATATTTTTATTTATATTTCCATTATGGTTTTTATATATTTTGTTATGTCTAGATAATTTTTTTTTTTTTTTCAGTAATTTTAGTTGTGGTTTTAGTATTACTTTTATACAAATATAGTATTTTCATTATTTTGAATTATATATTTATATATATATTTCTATTATAGAGTATAAATTTTGTTGTCCATATATAATTTTTTATTAGATTTATTTCAGTAATTTTAGTTATCCTTGTAGTATGATTTTTATACAATTATAGTATTTGTATTATTTTGAATTAGATATATTCTTATATATATTTCTATTATAGTTTCATCCATGTTGTTATGTGACTGCCATTTTTATATACCTGTATTTTTTCAGTCATTTAGAGTTATTATTATTATTTTTTTTATGCATTTATAGTATTTTTCTTAATTTGAATTAGATATATTTTTTATATATTTCCATTATATACATTTTGTTATATATATATATATATATATATATATATATATATATATATATATATATATATATACATTTTATTATTTTTTTAATTACATTTCTTTCAGTGATTGTATTTGTTGTTTTAGCATTATTTTTATACACTTATAGTATTTTTATTATTTTGAATTAGATATATTTTATGTATATTTCCATTACAGTTTTTAAAAATTTTGTTATGTTTTGTATATTGTTTAATAGCTTGATTTAATTTAATTATTAAAATTGACTATGTTTCCTTTGCTAGCTCATAGTGATAGTTTTACAGCTAACAATTAACAAGTTTATTCACTGATTCCTTCTCTGATGATGTCAGTTTAATAAATTGAGTGAAATATCACCCTTATCTCACGGAAAAACATAACTGTTATGTTATGTGCGATTTTAAAAGGAGGCATGGCACCAAACCCCACCCCTAAACCTAGCCATTATTGGTGGATGAGTAAATCGTACTCGTTATGTATTTATTATACTAAATGATACATACTAAATAATAATACCTAAATAATCATACTAAATTAGACACTAAATTAAAAATGCCATTAGACATATATATATAGCAAGCATTAAATAAACCCTTCCCCCTACTTAATATTCAACTTCAGTTGGAAAAACATGATCATACTGAAATAAAAGTCACAGAAACTTCTGGTTCACGTTTTAGTTATCTTAGTGAAATTTAATAAGTTTAAGATGTCTAAATAATGTTTCTAATTTTGATTTGAGCATGTTTTTTGTTATTTCTTTTACTTAATTTAACAAAACCAAATTTGATTTATTATAGTTGCATTAGTTATGAATAATAACACTGGCATACATGAGTGTGAATGTCGGATCATTTGTAAAAATCAACGATATTAATTCTGGATCCATAGACTGTCCACTGAGCTCTGTGTGTTTTATGTTGTATAACTCTCTAATGTGCTTTGTTCTGCAGACAGAGGACAGTGAGATTGACGTAGATGACGACGACGAGGATGATGATGAAGACGGTGAGGAAGATGAAGAGGAAAATGAAGATCTGGATGAAGATAATGACAGTCTGGAGGGATCATCTGGCAAACCCGGACGCACAAACCAATCCCTGCACCCACAAATCCTTGAGGAGAGCGATAACGATTTTTAACATCGTCAAAAACTCAATACATAATGACTTAAAATATGCTGTATTGATTTAAATATTCATGATTCTTATGTAAATTGCTGCATTGAAGTTAAATGTATGTAAATACACATCTACATCTCATTTGTATTCCTGTTAAATCTTAAATCTCGTTAATTTGTGAGTTTGAGAGGGTTTTTGTTTGACTAAAAATGCTTTATTAAGGCTGTCAGTAATGTTATATAAAATATATTACATTTTATTTTAATACATAAACGTAATGATATGTCACAAATATATACACCAATAAGGCTGTGAATAAACATGTTTCCTAATGTGTGCTGTGGAAAGTTTGTGCACGCATGTTAAATGTCCACCACACAGTCTGGAGCTCCGGCTTTTATGGCGTCCGACACGACTTTTGCTCCTGATTCACCGATGCCGTTACCCTGAAGACTGAAGCAGAAACAGAAAAATCACACATAATACTAACACTGTATTAGCTGAGCACCACTGATTCATTTAAGCACTATGTTTAAGTGTCAGTAGTGTTAACATAGTAATACATAATATTAATACAATGTGCAAAGTCATGCGAGCAACATGTTAGCAAACATGCAACCAAATGTGCTAAAACATGATACCACTATTACAATTTTAAGAATGTGCTAACTATATCATATAGCATGCTAGCAGTGTGTTAAACCATACTAGAAATATACTACCTACTAAATAAATACCGTACTACCATGAAATTGTTAGCAATGTTTTAAATCATGATAGAAACATGATAAAACATGTTAGTAAACATGCTATTAAATGTGTCAAAACATGCTAGTACTGTTACAGTGTTAGACGTGCTAACTATGTGATATAGCATACTAGCAGTATGTTGAAAGCTACCTATTAGATATAGTACATTCACACAGTATGGTAGAAACTTGCTAATATCATAAAACATTTCAGCAGTGTGTTAAAACATGCTAGAAATAGGATATTAACATGCTAAAACATGCAACCAATCTATAAAATCTGAAACTGGCTACCTATGTGATAAACATGCTAATATTGTTTCACAACAAGTGATAAAATTGTTAGCATTGTTTTAAATCATGATAGAAACATGATAAAACATGCTAGACAATGCTATTAAATGTGCTAAAACTTGTAAGCGATGTAACACAATGTTAGGTGCATGCTTACAACGTGATGTAGCACGCTAGCAGTTTGTTAAACCATGCTAGAACATACTACGTATTAAATATGGTACATTCAAACAGTATACTTATGATAGAAACATGCTAATATAAAACATTCTAGCAGTGTGTTAAAACATGCTAAAAACAGGATATTGCTATGCTAAACTTGCAACCAGTCTATTAAATCAAAAACTGGCTACCTGTGTGATAAGCATGCTAATATTGCATTTAATAAATGATAAAGTTGTTAGCAATGTTTAAAATAATGAAAAAACATGATAAAACATCAGTAAACATGCTATTGAATGTGTTAAAACATGCTAGAAACAGAATATTGACATGCTAAACTTTCAACCAGTCTATTAAATCAGAAACTGACTACATATGTGGTAAGCATGCTAATATTACATTTAAAAATATATAAAATTGTTAGCAATGTTTTAAATCATGATAGAAACATGATAAAACATTTTAGTAAACATGCTATTAAATGTGTTAAAACGTGTCAGTACTGTATAATGTTAGAAATGTGCCAACTATGTGCTACAGCATGCTAGCAATGTGTTAACCATGCTAGAAACATACTACCTATTTGATCTATTACATTCAAACAGTATGGTTGAAACTTGCTAATTTTAGCAGTGTGTTAAAGCAAGCTAGAAACAGGATATCAACATGCTAGAACATGCAACCAAATTTATTAAATCAGAAACTGGGTAGCTATGCGATAAACATGCTAATATTGTTTCACAACAAGTGATAAAAGTTGAAATCTTTATTTTTTTATAATTATAATAGAAACATGATAAAACATGCTAGAAAATGATATTAAATGTGCTAAAATGTTAGCATACCTATGTGATGCATTACATGCAACCAGTATACTCGCAGTAAAAACATGCTTAAAATTCTAGCAGTGTATTAAAATGTGATAGAAACAGGATAGCATCCTGCTAAAATGTGATTAACTATGAGGTAAACATGCTAATATTGTGTTACATCATGTTTTAAACATGATAACAAGAGTTTAAAATGTTAGCATTGTTTTAAATCATGAAATAAATATTTAAAAAAAAAAACTGCAACTACGTCATGCTGACAGTCTGTTAAATCATTCTAGGCACATTTATCAATCAAAAAGCATTTATTTTAAATACATTAATTATTTTAAACTATTTTATGCATTCTTATCACTCTGAAAATGTAATATTATTATTATTTTAGCCATTAACTAACTTTATTTAAATTATTTATTAAAAAAAGATTATAGACTAGCTTGATACTTTTCTATTTCAGTTGCAATAGTTGAGAATCTACATATTTGTAAAGAAAAACAACAATAAAAAACATTTTATGGTTGGAATTTTTTATATATAACACACAGACACACACACACACACATATAAATATTGCACAATCACGCTCATGTCCCATTCACAGTAAAATCTCATTCGTAACACCCAATGCATATTATTCACCACATGTGCCATGTATTCGAGACCTCTCACACACAGTCGGCGGTTCGCACATCGACCCACACACACACACTCACTTTATGTAGGTGAGCTGATGGTTTCCTCTCAGCGCAGTCGCAATAAAGATTGCTCCATCCATCCCCAGACTATTCTCCTGCAGACTGCAAACAAACACAATTTTACAATTTATCTATGTTTGTATGTCACAATCTTACCATTTATTTGAGCTAAAGAAATACAAGCTACTTTCACCAATATAAAGTCGTGTCAACATTTATTTGCAAGACATTTTTTTAACATTACTATTTCTAAATGTTGAGTCAGTAAAATTAAAGAAAAATTTACTACTTTATTAGGCAACTATGCAACTTCAACAAAAGTGACAGACATTCATTCATTCATTATTTTTCAGCTTAGTCCCTTTAATAATCTGGGGTCACCACAGCGGAATGAACCGCCAACTTTTGCAGTACATGTTTTACGCAGCGGATGCCCTTCCGGCTGCAACCCATCACTGGGGAACATGAGCTATGGCTCAGCTGGCGTTTCTGTGTGGAGTTTGCATGTTCTCCCTGCGTTCCCGTAGGTTTCCTCCAGGTGCTCCGGTTTCCCCCACAGTCCAAAGACATGCGGTACAGGTGAACTGGGTAGGCTAAATTGTCCATAGTGTATGAGTGTGTGTGTGAATGAGTGTGTGTGTGTATGTTTCCCAGGGGGAAGGGCATCTGCTGCGTAAAAACATGCTGGATAAGTTGGCGGTTCATTCTGCTGTGGCGACAAAGGGTTAATAAAGGGACTAAGGCAACAAGAAAATGAATAAATGACTGATATTTCAAATAAACACTTCTTTTAGATTTTCTAATCAATAAATAATTCTTTAAAAAATGCATTGATTTCCACTAAAATATTACTGTGTCTGTCTGTAGACGTACTTTAGACTTCTTAAACTCCTGTTGTTCTTCAGAGCGCTAGAAAATGCCTTCGCTCCCTCCATCCCAATGGAGTTTCCTCGCAAACTAAAACAAAAAAAGAAGCATTGATACAGGATACTGGCCTACCTGCAGTCCTGACCTGTCTGCGATAGAGAATGTGTGGTGCATTTTGATGTTAAAATGCGACAATGAAGACCCTGTACTGTTGCCCACTTTAAGGCATGTTTGCAGAAAACATGGGACAAAACTGCGTGCACCTGAAACACTTCATCGCATGGTGCCTTCAGTCTGCAAACGTCTTTTAAGTATTGTGAAAATGAATGGCGACATTACAAAGTGGTAAATGTTTTACTGTTAAAACTCTTTTGAAGTGTGTTGCAAGAACCAAAATTCAAATATGAGTTTATTTTGGACAAAAATAACAATAAAAATGAGGGCTGCAAAATTTATCGTTTTTACATTGCAATATATAATGCATACATATATATACATACATACATACATACATACATATATATATATATATATATATATATATATATATATATATATATATAAATTTAAATAGAAATGGTTATAAATGAAAACAGAAAAAAATTATTTTAAACTATAACATTTAATGACATTCATGTTTTACTGTAATACTATTTTTTGATCAGCATTTGTGAGCATAAGAGACCCAAATATACAAATGTCACTGTATATAGATATATTTTTAACGAATATAGACTTACTCTAGTGTATGAAGGGTTTTGTTGACCACCATAGCATCAGCTAATGCAACTGCTCCTGATTTACCCGCTGAAACACCCTGAAGGCTATTAAAACACACATACACATGATCAGATACAACCAGCTTTAGCAAATAAACGCAAATTAATAAGGAAAATTGAAATGTGAGACTTACTAAAGCACAGTGAGAGAAGAGTTTGACATGAGAGCAGCGGCCAGAGCGATGACACCATTATCACCCAGAGCGTTTTCCTGAAGACTGACACAGAAAAGCACACACAGATATATTATTAGCCAATCACACGGCAGCAATTTGATGAATTTAGTTGTAGACGTGATCAAAGCAGTAATGATGAAAGTCAAACTGAGCAGTAAAATATTAGAGAAAATGCTGATGAAGCTTGTTGGCATGATTTAGCATGTTAGAAAAATGCTAACAAAATTTTAAAACATGCCTGAAGTTGTACATGCTAATGATGTGTTAAAACTTGTTAACAAGGTTTAGTCTTACAAGAAACATTCTATCAACATGCAAAAATATACTAGCATTGTGCTTCAACATTCTATAAACATGTTAGCAACCTGTGAACTCAACTGAAAAAACCAGCTTAGGCTGGTTGGCTGGTTTTAGCTGGTCGACCAGGCTGGTTTTAGAGGGGTTTTGGCCACTTCCAGGCTGGTTTCCAGCCATTTCCAGCCTGGTCTAGCTGGTCAGGCTGGGAGATGACCAGCTAAAACCAGCTTGACCAGCCTAGCCAGGCTGGGAGCCAAGCCAAAACCAGCTATGTCCTGGTCAAGCTGGTTTTAGCTGGATTTAGCTGGTCATTTTCTAGCGTGACCAGCTAAGACCAGGCTGGAAATGGCTGAAAACCAGCCTGGAAGTGGCCAAAACCCCTCTAAAACCAGCCTGGATGACCAGCTTAAACCAGCCAACCAGCTTAGGCTGGTTTAAGATGTTTTTTTCAGCAGGGATCTTTTTTTTAGAGGTGGTACCTGGTG